GTGAAGGGGGGCGGAGGAGCAGGGATGACAGGAACGTCTCAGTGTAGGGCTGGAACACTTAGAGTCTTTTGTATGGTTTATTACTGTTGCAATAACAACACCTTCCAACAACACAAAGTGTTAATAATAAGTTATCCTCCTGGCATGAGATTGCACAATTTGATTAGCTTCCAACATACTAATCCCATCATTACCTGACTATGCATGCTTAGAGATCAAGAAAGATATATTTGGCATTCAGGTTTTGTTAATCGGAGGGGAATAACAAAACCGAAATGATATTATGTGGTGAAGATCTGTCGACAGTCTTTCAGAGAGACAAAAAAAACAACATCTGTCAAAATATGAAAAAAAAAAAGTGTTTTTTTTCTAACTGGTTTTCTGATATCCGTCATTTGCCAGCGTGACATCACAATCTGTTTTTTTTTTTCGGGCTCATGTCATCCAGTTTTTATTTTAACCATTACATGCACCTAATTCTGCCTGTTGTGGTTTTTTGGCCGCATGTGTTGGTTTCTGGTTTCCGAGTGGCGTCATTGGCTCTCGTCAAAAAAACAACAACACTCGTTCTAATAAGTGGAATAACTACACAGAGGTTTAAATGTTTTTACAAGCTGCACGCTGTTTCAAAGATTCAAAGATACTCTATTTGTTAACCAGCCAGGAGCGGCACTCAGGACAAAATTTCATTTTCGTACAATCGTTCCAAATTGGGATGTGGTGTCCGATGCCTTGCTGCCATCGTTTTTCCAAAACTTTGCAAAAAAATAAGCCAAATAATGTCTTTCAATAACCCTGTTCGTGAAGGAAAAATGGGGTAAACGTAACTTAACACTAATATAAATTCTATTGAGTTTGTTTCACAAACTGACTTGATATGGGACCGAGTCATCTATAAGAGAACATGTAATTATTGGTAGCAGTCATCAAAGAAAACAAAGTTTACAGTTTAATTGATACCAAATAATAGGCTGTAGAACAAATGGAAAGTGGTCACCATGTCCTCCGGCAGCCTAAGCCTAGAGCAGCATAACTTAGATAATCAAATTGACTTAAACTACACAAGCTTTTTCAAAACGGAAGGTCTGAAACCTTGTCTTAAAAGCAAGCTACTCTAACATTTGAAGCTTGTCGGATTATCACTTTAAAATAAAGTATTGGGCAACTCGCCACAATGCAGGCACTCACCAACTCTGACAGGGAAGGCAAGAAGAAGCAGCAATAAGATGGAGGAGCTGCAGATATTTCTACAGCTCAGATTAGATAATATGCTGATGGGACAATTTCAAGTTGTGCACTCTACAAATCTGAGCTTCATGTAAGAGTGGCAAGAAGACAGAAGATGGAAATCAATAAATCCATGCAGAGCAGACAAAATATGCAGCAAAGCTCAACCTTGGTTCTGTATGCAAATCATTCTGTGGTTCAACACAGCTTTGAATCAGATGATATCCATGTTTAAAAAGCCCCAAGTCAACGTTCAGATCTAAATCTAATTTCATGCCTGGGATTAAGACTTAAATAAATCTGAGTTAATCGGGTATAATGCTGCCTTTCATCTGATGTCTCTCCTGAAGTAACAAACAACACCCCACCTATAAGTATTGGTATTTAGGAGTAAAATCAAATGAAATGTTTAACAGAAACAGTTCAGTTACAGAGGGCAATTACAATCAGGAAGAAAACCTCAGCTTATCGCTCTCCGACGATTCATATAAGGTCCATGGGTGAATGAATAACTTAAACATATGCGACCCCACTTATAGGAGGAATGTGGACTAACCGCGCTGCGTGACAACTTATCACTCAGCAACAGCAAAGCTTTTTTTCCACCATAGAGAAATACATTTTATAACGGAGAATTACAGCCGAAGAGCAGAGAACAAAGCTTCACATATAGATACGGGCCTCAGGGTTTGGTTGAGCCTCCTGGAAGGGGGAGCAGGATTCAGATGGTGTGTGAATGTTTGACAGGAACACAGTCTGATCTGCTCTGATCTTTGCAGAGGTTGCAGATGTCATCCTGTATCATGCATGCAGCGTGGGCTGCTGGGGAAGACTCTGATAGTAGTTCCAGCCGGGGGTGTAAAGCAGTGTTACCCTTTTTTTTTTTTATTTCCACTCTGCTCGGTAACTCTACCTTTCGCTTATCTTGGTTAACCCTCAGCACAGCTTATTTTGGTTTACTGTGGCAAATCTGTTTCCACTACATCGCAACGCCTACAGGACAAATCCTATTTTGGGGAAACTGAAAATACTGTGCGGTGACTTCTGAGAAACATTAAAAACCATGTTATGGAGGCTCTAGGGTGTCTAAGTCGAGGTTAAAAGCAGGACGAAAACTAATTGGAGCAGGGGCGGTTCTAGAGCAGAATGTACCAGGGGGCCAGAGTGTTTTCATGGGGGCACAGAAAAGCAAGAAATAAAAGAAAAAAAAGGACAAGCGATTGAAATATATTAATATAGTTGCATGAAGTGAAATTTCTATTCTTAAAATTCCTTTTCTTATTAGGTCAAGATACATTCATAATTTAAGAATTTGACATATTTTTGATTTAATTTAAGTTAAAATTACTTTTCTATTTTCTATAAAATCTGAATCAGAGCATTTTTTAAAAATATTTTTTGAAAAAACATTTAGCAGATGAAAAAAGGGATCTTATCTCAATATCACTGAAGCTATCACCTTATTGTTTTTAAATAATTAGTAAAACAGAATTTGTAAAGAAAATAATTAAATAGATCAAAAGGACGTATCAGTAACCATGTCTGTTCCAGCGCAGATCATCATTAAATTTCTTTTAGTATTATGTCTTCAGTACAGGGGCCATAACAGGGGCCAGAACATGATCTACAGGAGCACTGGCCCCCGTTGGCCCCTGTCTAGAACCACCCATGAATTGGAGTGAATTGGGACCTCTACATCTGAAAAGCTTTCAATAGTAGGCAGATTTCTATAAAGAGTTATCTCTTATGGAGTCGATCTTTTAATCTTCTCTTACTTCAGGAGGCTTCATAGGTAGGACAATGTACTCATCAGTTGGCAAATTATTTCCCATCAGGAGGACGGATCAGAGATTACGTGAGTTTGCTTTTACTGGAAATTAGAAATGCTATGCTGTCCTGCTGCCACATGCCTGTTCTCCACCTCACTGTTTAAACACACATACACCCATCTGCTGCCAGTGTTGAAAGGGCTCTGCACCGGCGGCACCAGGTTTCTATGGTGGAATCCTCAGACATCTGTGAATTGGGTTCAGTTTAAAAATACTTTCTCTCTTAAAAGTGTTTCTTTAAACCACTTAGAGGCGCTGATAAATTATGTGGAATAGATTCTCTGTAGCCGTCTGTCTTACAGTGGCTATGAAGAAGCCTCTGGCTGAAGACACACTAGGTGTTGAAGTCTTGATGGAGATGATGCTCCTTGTTCTGCATAATGTTCTTCATTTAATGAGGAATCATTCTTTGTTAAATCACCTCCAGAGGTTCTAGAGATAACTAGCATTTTGCCACAAAACCGAGCACCCCGAGCCTCAGTAGTCTCATCTGACTAATCAGTTTGTGAAGACCGAGGTATTTGTACGTCTCCACTTCTTCTCCTATGGTGTTTACAGGATTCAAATCGTTCCTGTTTCTTCAGAAATCGACAATAATCTCCCTTGTTTTGTTCACATTCAGGATCAGATGATTGCCCCTAATGTCTACAGTCACCTGAGTATGTCTGCAGGTATCAGGACTTAGTTTGGTACTGGAAGTCAGAGGCGTGCAGAGTAAAAAGGAATGGTGAGAGTACTCTACCCTGTGGTGCTCCTGTGCTGCTGACTTCTTGATTAGACAGCTGACCCTGCAGTCTAACAAACTGTAGTCTGTTTGTCAGGTAGTCTTTGATCAATTCAATTCAGTTTATTTCTATCTCACCAATTCACAACACATGTCATCTCAAGGCACTTTACAGTTCAACAGATCATCCAGTCAAATTAATTCAAAGTTTTCTATCTAAGGGAAATCAATTAATTGCATCAACTCATTGACTCAAATACAATCCCTCACACTAAGCATGCTTGTAGCGACAGTGGAGAGGAAAAACTCCCTTTTAACAGGAAGAAACCTCCAGCAGAACCAGGCTTAGTGTGAGCGGCCATCTGCTGAGGCCGACTGATCCAGGCGATCGTTGCCTTTAATTGATTCTTCTGAAGTTTCTGATGAAGATTAGCAGGGGGTCCTGATAGCTGCTTATTTGCCTGCTCAGATGGGACTGGCACCATCTGGACCTGCAGGACTGTTGCCATTCATCTCATGCTGTGTCTTTACTTTACTTCCAGTTACAGGCAGGTGGAAGGCGGAGGGAGCTGCACCATCTTCTGATACAGACGACATAGAGGCAGAAAGGTCCTTGGATGATATGAATTATGAAACATTTGAAGTTGAAAAACGGAAACTAAAACTTTCGTTCATCCAGATGATTGGTCCATCAAATAAAATAATTTTAGCCAGTGTTCTTTATAAGATCTATTTTGATGTAGTGTAATTGTGGCTGTATGTTTTTTTTATTGGAGTTAATCATTACTAACAGTAGAGACACATACTTAAAAATTTTTTTAGTTTTGTAAAGTAATTTGTTGGGATTTTTTTCCTACATTACTGGATTAGGTTAAACTGCTTTAGTCAGTCTGTTAACAGATTTATCCTTAATCCATTTGACCCAAAATGTGAGTAAAAGCTACCCCAAAAAAAAAAAAAACAACAACAAAATAGTTGATCAGTTTATCCTTTTATAATAGGGCCAATTTAGTTTGAATAACTTTGTACCTTTAAAAATAAAACAGTTAGCTTTAAACTATTCCACTCAAAGAATAAGAATTCTTAAAAGCAAAAGCAAACCAACCCAGGCGTGCTCCAGCACACACAACCAATCTGGTTGTTAATCACTTGCCTCACAATCAAAGGTTATAAAGATTATGATCCAAGAAAACAAATGAGCCAAAAAAAAAAAGTGCAGTTTCAAAATACTGACGTGTTTATTATGCTTGAAATCAGATACAAAAAAACAATAACTTTGCAGCTGAGTTCAGACATATGTGTAAAAAATGTGATCTCTGTAAATGAAAGGTTGACATAAAGTACCGGGTTGAACGCCTCTCATTGCCCTGCAGATAAGAGATATTAACGGTGACATTTGAAGATAAAGGGTGGGTGGAGGGAGACACCAGTGATTTCCCTCGGCTGTGGGGAGACACTCCGCCCTCAAGTTTCCATGCAGACATTTCATAAATATAAAAACCCCAAGCAGTCAGCAGCAGGTGGATCATCTGAAACCTTTGTTCTAAATGAGGCACAGTCACAGGATGCAGAATAAACACAAGGCTGCCATGAGGAAGTCTGTCACAGTAAAAAAGAATATTAGTAAAATTTAAAAATGTAGAACTGATGAGACAACTTCCATGTCTGAGAGGATCTTTCTATGTTCAGAAAAACTACAGCTCTCTCTCTCTGGTTTGCTGATCAGGAAATGATTCAAACGGTTTTGTTTTTGCTTTAAGTCATTCAAACCCAGGTTAGAGTGAAAATAGCAGCAGAAATCTGGCCCTCATCTGAAGCGGCTCCTCTCTTTATCCTTCGACCTCCTGGGCGAGCGGCTGCGGCTCCGGTCCCTGTGACCTTTGTCCCGCCCCTCCTTCCCGTGCTTGGGCCGGGACCGGCCGTGTTTCTGGTCCCTGTCTCTGGAGCGGGAGCGAGAGCGGGAGCGCTGGTTGCCTGACTTCCTGTCGCGTCTGCTCTCCTCGCTGTTCTGAAGAGAGGAGCACAAAAAGCAGATCAGACTGCTGGGAAACTTAAAAACATAATAGGTGACCTCTGCCACTTTAATCACTTATCCAACAGGTTTAAGGTCACAAATCCTGCCAACTTTCATATCCTTTAAGGAACAGAAAGCTCAGGCTTCTTAGAACAAGAGAAACAACAGGAACACTGATGAGAAGGATATTAAAGGAGCACAAGGAACAAGGAAACTGATATTCCACAGGAGAACATGAGCATTATTTGCCTACTGGCATCATTCCTGGCAAACCCAATGTGATGGTCATAAAACCTAGATGAGGCAGGTCTGCCTGCTCCTCTGTTAGGACGGCAGGCCTCAGCATTTCTAAAACCTGGTCACCGTTCCCACACTAAATAGAATCATCCTCTTGTTCTGCCACAGGATTCCATCAAAGGCTAAGGGTTTGATGGAAGGTGGAATAAATAAAATCACTTCCTCATTAAGGCACGGCTTCTCTGTCCACTGATTAATCATCATTCATTCATCATCATGACACAGCTATATTTTTTTTTTTTTTTATCATCTCCCATCTGCTTATTTGTTTATTTAAATTATACCTTGCTGTATCACAGAAAATCTGCTTCTTATACGTTGGTGAAGATTCTCAATCATCCAGGTCATAATCATTCCAAAAAAGTAAAAAAAAACAAAAAAAAAAACAATCCACTTGCATTTGTTTTCAAGTTTGAAGACGTTTTACTTCCCATCCAGGAAGCTTTTTCAAACATCTTCAAACTTGGAAACAAAGTCCATTAGATTGCTTTTTTTTTGTTTGTTTTTTTACTTTCTTTGGAATGCTACTTATAAGGTTTTGAAAATATTTGACATAAACAGAACAAAGGACATTCAAAATAAAGAAAAGCATTGCAGAAACAGAGAGGAAGAACCAGGATCAAACACAGCTCAATGATGATGATGCAATAAAACTATCAATCTCTTGATAAAATGAATCACCTGATAAATTTGATCAAGCTTTATAATCACATTTGCACGCTTGTTTGTTTTCCTAGGATCTCCCTCGCTTTCTATTAAGAGAAATGTTTTACTCCGCTGCATCGGCCTCCACTGATCCCTCCTCCCCTTGCTTCCTTAGCTTAGCCTCAGAGCCCCATATGTCACATTTGATACTAAACACAGCAAAAACTGTATCTTAAACCTAATCCTGCAGTTTTCCCTGCTTGGCTGAGGGAAATGATGGGATGGTCTCTGAATTTCCAAAAAAGTACGCCTCATGGAGTGTTTAACTGACCAACAAAATGCAAAATAATGCAGACACAGACTGTGTAGTTTACTGTTATTTTTCATCAGTTTTGATTGACTGTTTGGGATACGTAAAATATCTTACAGTTCCAGAGTTAAATGTCATTTAGAAGCATTACTTTATCCCTCTTTTAAGTTGCATTCACACCAAAAAATATTTTCCATCTTGTTCAGTTGCCATTGGTAGCTTGGTGTTTTTTTTGCCCTCTTTCTCAAAAACAACTTTCCCCAACAACTCAGAAAAATGATTCCCAGCTTGCTGCGATAGCTTTACATACTCTGTATATCTAGGACCCAGTCTCAAGCTCTACTGTCCCACTCTACTTGCTTTTTCACCATGATATAGCCAGATTAACTGGCTCTATTTGTGCATCCACTGCACCATTGCCAGCTCTGCTAGCACTATTCACATTTCCACCATGCTATAGCTAGTTTTGCTAGCTCTATTTGCTTGTCCACTGCTCTTTTAGTAGTTTTGGTAACTATTCTCATATCCACTGATCTATTAGCAGTTTTGCCTACCTTAGGATAAGCCAGAAGGCCCTCTGCAAATAAAGCTCATCAATATCATATGATGACTAAGTCAGAGAGGCTCTGCTCAGAAGGGATTCAGGTTCCTGTCCACCAACATAAGCATTTACAGTTAGTTATCTGAAGGTGTTACCATGCAGGGGGGCATTTGATTAAACAAACAAAAGTGTTTGTGTGCATTCCTAAACCTCCAANGCTAGCCCTATTCTCACATCCACTGCTCTATTAGCAGTTTTGCTAACCCTATTCTCACATCCACTTCTCTATTAGCAGTTTTGATAACTCTATTCTCACATCCACTGCTCTATTAGCAGTTTTGCTAACCCTATTCTCACATCCACTGCTCTATTAGCAGTTTTGCTAACCCTATTCTCACATCCACTGCTCTATTAGCAGTTTTGCTAACCCTATTCTCACATTCACTCCTCTATTAGCAGTTTTGATAACTCTATTCTCACATCCACTTCTCTATTAGCAGTTTCGTAACTCTATTCTCACATCCACTTCTCTATTAGCAGTTTTGCTAACTCTATTCTCACATCCACTGCTCTATTAGTAGGTTTGCTTGCTTTACTTGCTCACCCATAATCCTATTGCTAGTTCTGGTGGGCCCATTTGTGTGTTCAACAATGCTATTGCTGGTGTTGCTAACTCTATACGCATATCCACTGCTCTATTAGCAGTTTTGCTAGCCTTATTCACACAGCCCCTACACTATTGCTAGTTTAGGTAACTCTCTTTGCGTGTCCACCACACTTTAGCCATTTTTGAATCGCTCCATTGGCCGATTCACATTGATTGAAATGTTTTGTTTGCATCGCCAAGCGTTAATTTACTTATATTTTAATCTTTGCATACAGATTAAATCTAACCATTTGCTTGTTAGCGTTTAGTGGGAATACACCTTTGATACATGTACCTTCATTATTATACCATTACTACATTAGTTTTAGACAATAAACATCAATAATTATCCTAAGCATTTACAGTTAGTTATCTGAAGGTGTTACCATGCAGGGGGGCATTTGATTAAACAAACAAAAGTGTTTGTGTGCATTCCTAAACCTCCAAGTATGTAGATCAACTTCCAATTGGTGCACACTCCTTGCAGCAACCCAACAACAGGAAAAGCTGGAAAACAGGGGGAGCGCAACAACCCCAGAGGTTTTCAGTTACCTTGTGCTTTTTAGACTTCCTGCTGTCTTCATCGTCTGAATGATGATGGTGCTTCTTGTGCTTCTTCTGAGGTGGCCGATGGCTCGTTGTCTCCTCCTCGTCCTCAATGAGCAGGTCATACTTGGAGCTTTTTCAAAAGGTTATGGAAATCTCAGAAACATTAGAAAAAACAAAAACCAAAACGATTGAGCTGTTGCCCTAACAGGGGAGGATACTCTTGTTTAGGCTTCACTTGATCTTTGAGAGCCAGTTTGGAGCGGTTCTCCAAGTCTTTCTCGTAGGCCTTGAAGTCATCTTTGGTGTATTTTCCTCCTAAAACAGAAAGAATGATAAAAGTAACGTTCATTTAACGGGGGAGTTCACACTTTTAGACATGAGTTAATGTTAAAACCTTTAAAGCTGTTAAGATTGCGTCTGCAGCAGATTTTCATTGTTCTCTGAGTTCACATTAGTTTCTACAGGAGGTTAAAGCTAAAGGCTGGTCTGAACAGAGAACCATCTTTTATTCTATATATATTTTTTTACTTTTTATGAACTTTTCACACAGATTTGTTAAGAAAGAAATGCTTTAGATGTCCTTACTTCAGGATGTGGTTCAAACAGGAAGACTAACTGAGGTGCACAACTCCTACCTGCTTCCTGTGTAAACAATCATGGAGCTGTGTCTACATACTGTAAGAACCTAAAGCAAAGCTGATGATGGTTCTTAACGTTCTTAGAAGAACATTCTCAGAGTTTGGTTTGACGTTTTTTTTTTTAAGACTGGAGTCATTTTAGGACCATACAGGTTCACTTTGGGGTCAGCACTTATCTAACCAGCCGTTAGCTTTAGCGTGGGGCCAGCTAATCTGGACTCAGGCTAAATGGAGGCAAACCTACAAAACAAAAAATAGTGAGATATCACTTTAATGAAATAATAACCAAATAATAACTCTGATGCTACTGTGTCACTTCTATAACATAAGGGGAAAATGTTCAAAGCTACCTTTCCCTTTCCATTTGATCTTTGCAACAGACTGGCTGAAGTCTACGTGGATCCTCCGGTCATCAATCAGCACGTTGTCCATCTTGAAGTAAGCCTTCTCGCAGTCTTCTTCCTGTCGAGTAAATACAAACATATCTTCAGTAAAGTTGCAGCTTAAAGGTA